TCTCACGTATGCTCCCCTGCTATGCTTGGTATAGAAAATCAATTGGGCAAGATGGCGCGTTACCTTCCCAGTGAAGGGCCTTTTTCTTGGCTAGGGTGAATGCTTTTCCTTCTGAGGTGCTCCTTGGAAGGTATAAACGCATTCCCATCCATGACAGGCTCTGTCTTTGTGGCAGCCCAGACGCAATCTACCATATCATTTTTGATTGTTATTTATTTGTGTCTCTTCGGCATGATTTGCTTTTAAGACCCTTGCAGGACAAATACCCACTGAACGATGTGGATCCTGCGTCATCTTGCCGGTATTTGCTTTGTGATGCTATACCCAAGATTACCCAAATCGTTGCTAAGTTCTTGGAGGAAGTGTTCAAAAGGAAACGTAACCAAACTCTTCTTTGAGTATTGTTTTTTTGCTGTTATCCTTATGATATGCTAATTCCTTGTTATTTTAATGTTTGTAATGCCACTAAAGGTTTGAATTGAATTGACTAATCAGTTTTGGGAGATGAGGATATAGAATTATTTTGCCCATCTCACAGGGGGGAATTTTTGGTATAGAAAAAGGGAAATCACTTCAGTGAAGTACTGGAAGAGGAAATAATGCTTGCGTGAAATATCTGTTGTGAAATACTGATTTTTGATTATGTAAACTGCCCTTGTAATCTTCATAGGTTAAGAAGTAAACTGGCTATGTTTGCAGACATTAAACTGGGTGTGGGGTAAAATCCAAAGGGATAGTGAAGAGCTCCAAAAGGATCTCTTTAAACCAGGTGAATGGAAAATGTAATTCAATTGAAGTAACTGTAAAGTAATGTATATTAGGCTAAAAACCCTAGCTTCACATATACATTGATAGAGTCTGACTGACTGTAATTAACCAGGAAAAAAACCTTGAAGTTACAGTGGGTAGCTGAGTGAAGATATCAAATTAATGTGTGGCAGCTGTGGAAAAGGCAAAGTCCATGTTAGGAATCATTAGAAAAAAGTGAAAATAAAGCTGCCAACATTGCAGTGCTCTTTTACAAACTTATACATTCACAATTGGTTGCACATTTGGAAAAGGACATAATAGAAATGAGACAAAGGGCAAAAGAGGACAACCAAAATGACTGTATCTTATCACCACCCTTAGGAGAAAAGACTAGAATGTTTGAGACTTTTCATCTTAAGAGGAAAGTTGACTGAATGAGAACCTGGCTGAGGTGTATAAAATTGTGCATGGCATGGGAAAGTGGACAGGGATCAGGAATTATCCCATGAAGCTGATTTGAAACGAAGAAAAGAAAACACTGTTTCCCAGTGAGATTTATTACTACAAGGTATGGTGATGGCCATTAATTTGGAAAGCCTTAAAAGCGAATTGGATAAATTTATGACACTCTATCAAAGGCTATAAGATCTGAAGATTCAGTGGTAATTGTGAGTTAGGGTCAGCTTGCCTTCCAACAGTGTTGCAGGGGAACAATTGCAGGAGAGAGGTATGTGTCCATCTCCACCTGACGAGCACCCCAGAAGCATCTGATTGGCCACTGGAGAAAACAAAATGCTGGACTAAGGTAGCCCTTGGCCTAATCCAGCAGCACTATTCTTACATTCTTACAAACTGCTGTAGTCCAAATGAAAGGATCTCTTGTTTGCTTGACAGCTATTAATTCTACCTTTCTGGCTCTCTCAAACCAGAAACTAGCTCTTCAGCAGAAATAGAAATTATGCCATTGTAGTGCTCATTAGATTTGATCCCAAGAGCAAAGGTTTGGTCTTTGCACTTGGCCAAGATTGAGCAACACGATTTAGCAAGTTTTTAAACAGCAGTTGAATGATCTGGGTGAGACTTCCCCAGAATTGACATCCCCACATTTTCCCTCAAGAATTATTTTTAAAATCTTGCTAAACTGTGTTGCTCAATTTTGGTCATTCGCCTCGTCAAGCAGACCTAAAGAATGTTACAATGGAGTAATTCTTATATCATCTGTAGGGCTTAGGACAGAGAGAGTCCCCCTCCCTGGCTTTGTGTGACTTGTATGATAAAGTGAAGCACTGCATGTGGTTCAGTTGGAAAGGATATTTATGATTTGGGCAAGCACAATCCATACAAAATGGAATAGAGACTTGGTGAATGTAGGCTAGCCAGGGCAGTTGAAAAAACACCCTGGAAGAAGGCATGGACTAACCACTGCTGTATTACTGCCAAGAAACTATATGGATGCATCTGTGAAGTCACCAGAGACTGCTCAGCTTGAGAGGAAAAGATGTAAGAAGCTGGTCCAGGTGTCTGTAGTATAGTGACTTGAGTATTGCCTTTCTCAGAGGGTTTTTAAGGCATTCACCGTCTTAGCTTCCAGTTAGCTGGCAAATGATCTCATCCACTCCCTCCCCCATTCTACAAACAGAAGTTGAGTTTAAAGTCTGAATGTACTAGCTGATATGGGTAGTGAAGGTGGCTGTAAAATTAAAGCCGCCTTCAGTATAATCCC